AGGACAGTTCAGAATATTTAATATGAATACAGAAGCAGAAAGTTCTTAAAGATTAGTCTTCAACATTGACGTCCACGACTACAAGAGCATAATCTATTGGTTCGGGTATCCATCAATAAACATCAGACCGAGATTGGACAAAAATTTACAGATCGAGCGAAGTTATGTTTGGCTTCTTGCTGAAGTTCTTCCTTCCGAGAATACAAAAGGACAGGACTCCTCATGTTGTTGGCTTGTTCTACACAAAAGTGGGCAACATCATAATGACTCGTCAGGCTTAGAGCTTTCCTAAGCTAAATGGCCTATTCTCTTGTTTCTTGTTGCATGCCCTTTTGCTCCCCTTGGACAATGACGAAGCGATAAACAAACAAAAGATGGTAAAGACACAGCTACTTAATCATAATTATTAACCATCTAGTTTGTAGTTATTATTATTTTTAAATGCAGATTAGAAATGATCCGGATTATGTGCAATTTTAATTGACTGCTCCAATCAATGATTATACATTATGGATTTTTAACCATAGTTAAAAGTTTAACTAAAAAAGATGTTGGAGTTTTTGGTCAAAACCAACTTCTAAAAATGAATTTTTAAGCTATATATTTATTAACTACTGATATTTTTCAGAAATCCTTAGTAGCGTAGTGGAAAGTAAAAGTTTTAATATTTTAAAAGGTCATGAGTTTTAGGCTTGACGTAGGCAAGCCGGGAATTGTTTTGTCTTAAATAAATCAATTAATCTCTCATAAGTACTAGTGAGTCGTGGGCCAATGGGATTAGGAATCCTAATAACCTCATGTAACCAAAATAGATTAGGAATCCTAATAACCTCATGTAACCAAAATAGATTAGGAATCCGTTATCCAACAATTCTCCACCTCGGCGAAATTTTCCCAAAACTCACTGCTGGAAACATAACTTTTAGCGACGGAAAAATCCGTCGCTAAAAGTAGAAAATCCGTCGCTAAAACCTTTAGCGACGGAAAATATAAAATTCCGTCGCTAAAATATCGTCCGTATAGTGAGGGTAGCGAACATGTGTTTTAGCGACGGATATTCCGTCGCTAAATTTTAGCGACGAAACATTAGCGACGGATAATCCGTCGCTATACTTTATTTAAAAAAATTAAAAAAACTTTAGCGACGGATTTTCCGTAGCTAAAACATGTTTTAGCTACGGAAATGATGTTCACGCTACAACTCAGAGAGGATCTTCGCAGTGACTTCAGCATCATTTACTGAAGATCATCTCAATTGTTTAGGAATGTGTTTTTATCTTTACACTTTTTCAATCTAATTTATTTGTAAACCTAGAGATCATGGTGAATTGAGGCTAAAATTATCGTCTTGGATAGATTGCGTGTGAGATTATCTGAGAGTTGTATTGTGCATCACATTTTGTAACATCTGGTAGGAATGGGTGTAAGAGTTTTGATGAACTTAAGAGCTTTGACGAACTTTGAAAGTTTCGATTTTATAGGCGTGAAGTCTGTAGATGTAGGCATCTTAATGAATCGGCCCGTAAAATTGTGTGTTTAAGTTTGGTTGTTTGCTTGGTTGTTTTCTTCTGTTAATTTAGTTGCAAAACCTTTTTTTAAATAACCTAGTTTTTAGCGCAATCCTATTCTCAGGAGATCGATTTCACAGGGGTTAAGTCAGTAGATGTCGGCATCTTGCTGAACCACATAAAATTGTTTATTCGAGTTTGATTGTTTTTTTCTTCTGCTTATTTAGTTGCAAAACTCTTTTAAAAAATAACCTAAGTTTCGACGCAAACCTATTCAACCTCCATCCCAACAGTGGAGCTCTCCTCTAACAGGAGCAAGAGGAGGAGGATGCCTTGTGGTAAATCCCTGAAGTATGCTGGTAAAGTACGATTTGAGGGTTTTGTGAGGAGAGTTTTGGGGTTTTGGAGCACAGAAAAAGAGAGATCTTTCTGAGCTATTTGTTAGGGTTATTGGTTGAGAGATTGAGAGATTTGTTGGTGAGATTAGTTGGTTCGTTTGAGCGATTTGTAATCTCAATTTGTACTCTCCTTCTCTATTAGTGAAAACCCACCCCCTTCTTGCCCCGTAGACGTAGGCAATTTGCCGAACCACATAAAACCTTGGTGTTTGTGTTTTGTTTGGTCTTTCTCTCGGCGTTCGTTGGTTTGGTTTCTCAAAGCAT